AGGGTTTCAGGCTCTGCATGCCTCTTTCTTTTGCCAATCGCCACAGGATCTTCCCTGTGCTTGTGGTTGAAACTGATTCTTTTTGTTTGTTTCTTTTTTCTTTCTTTTCTTTTCTTTTTTTTTCTCGGTAAATGGAATGAGGCCTTAAACAACCTTTGCCACATAGTAGCTTCTGAATAGATGAAGTTTCGTAAAATCTCCGTTATATCCAGAATCATAGCATAAGAGTGCCATTCTGTTAAAAGACCGTTTGTATACACATTACTTGATTTTTGCTGCAGCAAAAGAAAAAAAAAAATCTCTGGGGTGGGCTACGTGGTGTGTTCACCCATTTGAGAGGCTGAAGAAGGTGGTAGCAAGAACATGACAGGTTAGTTGGTAGAGTTGTTAAATTACAGAAGTTGAGCTGGCTGAGGTGCCAGAACAGGGGCACGCATGTGAATATCAGCTAGTGTGATTACGATTCAGTTCCACATTGAGAAACTGAGGCACAATGAGGCTTAGGTGCCTACCCTTGAGCTCTCCCCATCCCCAACCAAACCAGGAATCACCCAACTTTTCCCTAGGAGATCTCCCTGCCCTCTGACGGGTTTGAGCATACATCCAGGGACCCCGTGCACCTGCCTCCTGCCTGGGAGCCTCCCCCTCTGCCCTGACATGTGCTGTCACCCCCACTTGTCTTCCTCATGCTCCATCCATATGGTGTGCAGTTCTAGGGTTTTCTGGAGTCACCACCACCTCCACCCCCAATCCAAGACCATCAAGCAAATGCTGTCACGGCTCTCAGCTCACCCTGCTGGCGAGTCGGAGACAAGGGTTTTTCTCTTCTCTATTTCTCGCCTGCTTGGCCATGCATGGGTCCCAACCACATCATACAAGGAGCTTCCTGAGGTTGATGCAACATGAAATGAAAGGATAGATTTCTTTGGGTGCACAAATTTTTTGAAATTCATGCATGGTTTTGTCTTTTAATAGCATGTGTTTCCGTAAACTTTTTGAACATCTTTTGGACAACCAACTCTAATAGGAAATGGTGTCTACCATAAGCCTCTTTGGCAAATGGTGGCATCTCCTTGTTGATATGCCTTTGGGGAGTTTCTCCTTTGTCCCACATGGGGTGCCAAGATTCAGAACTCACTGGGCACCCAGCACAGCAGAATAAGCATGCTCACCCCTGCCTCACACCTGACTCTTGTCTTGATGAGTATCTCTGCCCTTTGGAAAAGGGTACCAGCCACCCTGAAGGGCCCAGGAGTGTGACAGCCCTATAAGAAGTGCAGTAGAGGGGAGCTTAGATGGTGAGGGCCTGGGACGATGGTAGGCAGATGCACGCCATTTCCTCTTAGCTTCCTAGCAGACTCTCAGGGCAGCACAAGCCAAGGGCTTCCAAACAGAATCTGAGCAAGGGCCGTATCACTGACATAATGTCCCCAGGGTGCTGCTTAAACATTGGGTCTCTCGTGGCTGGGCCTGGGTTCAAGTCCCATCTCTGCTTCAGGTCTAGCAGCCTGCTAAAGCACACCTTGGGAGGCAACAGGTGATGGCCAAAGTACTTGGGTCCCCACCACCCTCATGGGAGAACCCAAATGGGAGGTCCTGGCTCCTGGCTTCATCTTGCTGAGCCCCAGCTATTGTGAGCATTTGGGGAGTGAACCAGCAAGTGCAAAATCCTTCTCTCTTTCACCTTGCCTTTCAAAAGAAATTGAAGGAGAGAAAGAAAGGAACAAATGAATGTGTATATGAATGAAACCTCATTACTTCATTGCCACAGTATAGACTTAGGAGCTGCAGTGCTGGTGTCAGTGTGTGTGTGTGTGTGTGTGTGTGTGTGTGTGTGTGTGTGTGTGTGTGTCAGTGTGTGTGTTGCTGAACCAGATCCTACCCACTGAGGCCTCACAGGAGACACCTGCTGCTGGGCACCATAGTGCCCATGTTTGTCTCCCTCCACTGCCCTGAACTTCATTGCCTCATTCTTCTGTGGTCCCCAGTCTCATCCCCACACTAACTAGCCCTCATTAGGGCTTTGTGTGGGAAGGTGCTAGAGTCCCAGACATAGCCTGGTGGTATGCCAAGTCTCACTTGCATCTGAGCTGAAATCGTGATGCTTTGGCAAGGCCAGAGACCAGGGAGGGCATTGTCCCTGCCATGCTGGGATTGGGTTGGATCCAGTCAAACTCTGTTGGGCCTCTGTGGGAGAGGAGAGAAACAAGGTTTCACTGAGACTGTGACAGTGGCTCCAGGACAGCCTGCGGGCCCTAACCCAGAAGCTGTGCAGCCTCGGTCTTTGTGGCCCATGTGAGCACCCCAGGAAGAGCACCCTGCATTCCCAAGGGAGCTGGAGCTGTCCTGAGGTGCCCCCTGAAATCTGTTTACCAAGCCTGCGGCCCCACCTGCCTCTGACCATGGCAGCTTGCACGTGGACCCAGCAGCTGCAAAGAGAAAGCGCCAGATTGGATGGAATCCCCAGCCCAGCCGGCTGGTGCCTGCCAAGAGGCATTGGCAAAGCCAGGCGGGGGCTCTTGGGGCTTTTCCAGGTGGAGAGGAGGTAGGGATGGAGAATGGGGCAGCCACCCAACAGTGTCCTCACTACATGCCCAGAGGAGCCTGGCACTGCCATACCAGCTCTGTTCCAGGTGCAGCCCAATGGCTTCTCATCTCCATTCCCTCACTGGGGACACCGGACAGACAATACCCACCTCTCAAATGGTCAGCTCTGTCACTCACTTGCTGTGTGACCTCCCCCTTCTGTGCCCAGATCTCCTCATTCCATTCATCTCTGACAGCTGCCATAACTAATGTTCACAAACTGGGTGATTTAAAATGCTGGACAGCAGGCCAGGAGTTGGAGGTGCAATGTCCGCAGGGCCCTGTTCCTGCAGGGAGTTCAAGGGGAAAGCACCTTCCTGCCTCCCGCTGCCTCTGGTGTCAGTGCTGGCATCACAGGCAGCGGCAGTCCTCGGCCTCCGCTCCACACTACTGCCTCTTCTCCCTGGCTTTTAGGCAAACACTTGCCATCACACTTGGGGCTGCCCTGGAGAACCCAGAAGGACCTGGAGATCTTTGACTATACCAGCAAAGACCCTTCCAAACAGGCTCTGGAAGTCACAGGATGTGAGCCTCTCAGCCCACTGCTGTCTTCCATGGAATGAGGGAGGTAGTACTGCCTGCCCTGCCATGGAGATTCCAGTGAGATCATGTGTTTGGTGCATGGCAAACACTCCACATTTGTTCTTTTCATAATCCTCACTGAGACACCATTGTGTGATTATTATGAACCTCATCCTAACATTTCATGAGAGATTCCCCAGACAGAACATGTCTACCCTTCACCTTGGACCCTCCAACATCTCAGGAAAGAGGGCCAGGGTTAACTGCAGTGTGTGGGTCAGCAGCCTTTCATATCATTCACCAATTCCCTGATTCTTGCCCATTCCATTCCATCTATAAAGTTGGCTGTTTTGTCTTTACTGCACGTCCCCAAACATCTCCTGGGACTGTTATGCTGTACTCTCAGGAGTGCCCCTGGCATGTTGCTGGCTATGGGTGGGACTTCCAGAATCCTGCTGTGCCCAATTGAGGGTGATGCTGCATCCTGTCACCACCCTCACTGTGCCCAGGTGCACCAGACGCCATTAGCACCCCCAACACCAATGTGCACCTGGATCATTGCAGTAGCTTTTGGCTACCTACTCACCTTTACCTCTTGCACACACACCCTAGCTACTGAACTCATGAAAACTACCAGTCAGATTTTGTCCCTTTCCTGCCCCAAATCCTCCTCTCATTCTCTTATCTCACATGGGTCCAAGGAGTCCACCATCTCCTGCTACCTGTGTCACTCCACTGCAGCCACCTGGCCCTGCTCCTCTTCCTTGAACACAACACATGCAGGTGCTTCCATTGGCACTGGCTCTTTTCTCCCTCTGGAAGGCCATTTTTTTTAAGGCAGAGAATAAGAGCCGGAGAGACAGAGATCTTCCACCTACTGGTACACTCCCCGAATGCCTACAGCAGGCAGGGTTGGGCTAGGCCAAAGCCAGGAGTCTGAAACTCAATCCAGGTCTCTGATATAAGCAGCAGGGACCCAACTGCTGAAGCCATCAGTTGTTGCCTCACAGGGTGCACATTAGCAGGAAGCTGGAACCAGACAGCAGCTTAACCACTGCACCAAGTGCCTGCCCCTGGGCGCTTTTCCAAGCTATCTTCATGGTTTTTTCCCTCACAGCTTGCAAGTTCTGCTTAGGAGACACCTGCACAGAGGCACTGCCCTGCCCACAAGGGTCAGTGCTTACACAACAACCCTCTTGGTGACACACTGGGATGCAGTGGGTTAACCCATCACTTGCAATGCCAGGATCCTGTGAGTACTGTTTCACATCCTAGATACTCTACCTCTGATCCAGCTTCCTGCCGGTGTGCCCTGGGAAGCTGTGGATAATGGAACAAATACCTGGGCCCCTGCCACCCATATGGGGGACCAAGATGGAGTGCCAGGCTCCTGGGCTTGGTGTGGCCCAGCCCTAGCTATTTTAGCCATTCAGAGAGTAAATGCACAGATGGAAGATTTCTCTCAATCTCTTCCTCTCTCTATCTCTCTCACTCCACCTTTCAAATAAGTACATATTTAAAAAGATCCTTCCTGATTGATGTTGAAAATTTTGAGAGCCATTCATGATGCTCCCTGGATGATGCAAGAGGAGAAAGCAAAGGGGTAGGGGGTTTCTAAGCTACGAAGCACTATTCAGCTCCTGTTAGACTCTGTTGATGTAGAATGTTTCAGAAATGTGGCACGTGGCTGCCATAATGTGTCCTTTATTCCCCAAAACAGGCCTGGCCATTTTCCTGCCTTTTGTGAACATGGGAACTTGATGAGAATCCAGTGTTTTGTTGCAAGGTGCCTATCACGAAGAGCATTAAACTGAGTCAAGATTTGTCCTAAAAGACCCTGTGACTTCAAAGGATAAATGTGTCCCCTTCCCCTGCATCCTACCAGGCCTTGCACTGGATGCTCCACCTCGTTCCGTTCCCCAAACCACTCTCAGCAGTAGTTATTTCCAAGAGTCCTCATCCATCTTCATCCCAGAGGCACAGAGAGGTTCAACACTGTCGCCAGAGTCACACAGCAGAGATGACCTTTAATATGATTTCTGTTGTGACTTTCAGCTTCCTCTATCACCTGTGGGGGAGGCACTTGGTCACAATTTCCAGCTTAAAAAAAATAAATCTCTGAGAATGAGAATCTGGGAGGAGTTTTGACTCACTGATGTGAATGCAAAAGGAAAGGGAGAGGACAGATAAGAACGCTGAAAAAAATCACAGAAAGGGCCAAAGCAGGAGCTTGCTAATTATTTTTAATCAAGTGCTTGCTTGCGTCTTTTTTGTTCTTCTTGTCTCAGTGGTTTACAGAGATGAGAGCTCCAGGTGCCCGGCTCCCCTGCGATGCCCGCTCTGTTGGGAGAAAGGAAATGCTGGTGGTGATTCCTCCATCCGCAGCAGCCCCATAGCTCTCTTCTTGTTGAATTCCCCTAGAAACCCGGCACTCACAACAAGCAAGATTCCCATTGGACACACAAGGGGTGATGAGAAGGTTCCAAGTTCCTCTTCCTGCCCCCTGAGTCCCAGGGCACAGCATCAGGACTTCTCTTACTCGGCTACAGTAAGTTTAGCAAACCCAGCCGCTCACTGCCCCCACCCCACCAGCCAGCTCCGTCACCAGTGCCACCACTAGGTCCGCCTCAAATGTCATCATCGTGATAGGTTTTCACCACTGAGTGTTGTCCATGTGCAGAGACTGGGGGCTTCTCACCTCACTTACTTCTGAGCCCCACAGCAGCCCTCACAGACATGATGTTGGGATGCACAATTTACAGATGAGGGGGTCCATGACACAGCTCGGAAGTGGGAAGTCCCACATCCGGATGTGTTCACAGCATAGAAGACCCCACGTGCCCTTGCTGGTGAAGGTTCTGGGACTCCTGACCATGCAAGACAGTGTCCACATGGGACAGGGTGAGCACGCACCCCTATGTCCACTGCACCTGCCTCTTCAGCCTGTGCATCATCTCAGCCACACATAACTGCCCACCCACTGCTCTCTCCTGGCTCAGCCACACCCTTTCTCTGCACCCTGCCCTCTGCTCCCCTCCTTGCAGTGCACCCCACAACTGGTGCCCCACTTTCCACACAGCCTCCTCTCATCCACCCTTCTCCTTGGCCGCTCCTCCTCTGCCTGTATGGCTGTATGTATCCTGGGCATCTAGCATGGCCTGTGGGCACTCCAGCTCCCTGCTACTGGTTTTTAACACCTTGTGCTGCTCCAACTAGACAGCTCTGTGGCTGGTGTTTGATCCACAGCCATCAGTCTGAGACTATGTCCTTCTGTGTCATTGCTTAGTGGAGGGCTGGCTACCTAGATAGTGGGAGGGAGAGATTTTTCTGGCTGTTCAACTTCTGGAAAACATGGCATTCCAGATCTTGCAATCCACTGGTATTTCCTACCCCCTTACTGTGTGAATTCTGGGAACACAGAAGGAGGGAAGCAGCGAAGTCCAATGGCTTTGGTGCAGACCTTCCTGTCAGGCACACTGAAGCTTGATGTCTAACTCTGCCACTCACCAAGTGACCTTAGCCAACCTCCTTATGTTCTTACTTGCCTCCGTCATGCCAAGCACACAGGATCGTGGGAAGAGTAAGAGAGATGAATACACCCACAGTGCCTCACAACCCACCTGTGCTTGCTAAGGGGCACATCCTCCCTGCCATGTCCTGGCTTGGGGGGTGAGGGGAGGGGTGGAAGCCCAGTAATGACCAAGGTGCAGCAGACCCCTTGTTCTCATTCTCCCCAAGGAGTCAGAAAACTGAAGAGGGTTCAGGGGGGAGTGTGCTGTGCTTCCCAGGTCTGTGGCTGAGCCTTCCCAGGCCCTAGGAGAGTGGGGCCTACTGCTGGAGTGACAGAGGTACCTGCAGTGGCACTGTCTCCCCACTTCCTCCCTGCATGTCTGGAGCCTCCTGGTCATGTGCAGAGAGGCCCTGGGGAGGAAGGCTGCGTGGAACCCGAATGAGACTCATGTCCTAGGACTTCCCTTCCTGGGTCTGCCCTTCTCCCTAACATGGTAAGGTCTCCCAGGAGTTCTCCCAGATTCTGCCAGTCGGAGCATGTGAATACCTACTTGTGCTGCCGGGGCATGTGATGACCTCCTTGTGCTTGGGACAATCTGAAGTGCAAGAGCTGTGGGTGTGCCCCAAGCCACCTGGAGTTATGACTGATGCCTCGGTGTCCTCACTTGGAAAACAGGATTAGTTGTGTATCTCCCCAGTGGGGTGACAGTGAGGGTTAAGGAAGCCAGCATGAAGAGAGCTTGGGGATAGCGCCAATGAGGGCTTGACCTAGTCAGGGAAGCTGTTCAGTGGGGGTGATCCTAGATGCAGATTTGGGATTGGGTTTCGCCTTGGATTCAGAGTTTGGCTTTGCCACATCCATCCCAGGCCTTGCCAGCTCTGCCTCTGCATGCTGTGTGCAGCACTCATTGTAGGGTACCGCCAGCTCTGCTCCCGTGAGGCAAGGGACAGGGACGGGTGAGACAGAGCCCCACACTGCTGGCTTCATGGTGCGTCGGCCTGGGGCTAGCAGCCACGTTCAGTGTTCTTACTCAATTCATGTGACTCGACAAATTTGGAATGCGTTAGGGAGAGAGAGTTTTTCCAAGTATGAGTCAGTACATTTATGCTCTCACACACATTAAACAAGAGAATTTAGTGAGGACCATTTATGAGTGCAAAGTGAAAAACCTCTGGAAATTTTATTTTGACCCTGAAGGCAAGCAGTGCGTAAGACATTTAATAAAGGATCTGAAACAAGATACAGTTGGGAGAAAACACAGCTAGTTGCCGTTTCCTCATGTACCCTCAGCCTCTGCCTTGTATTTAGGACACAATTTACACAGGGTTATAACACCCCCTGAACACCCAGATGCGTTCCAAGCATGGACAGAAACTACAAGCTCCGTCTAAGATGGGAAGTGAAACCAGCACAGCTCACCCACTTCTTCTCTACCAGCTCATAGTGAAGCAGGGGGACAAGCCCCAAATTGAAAAGACAGTGGGGGAGGGGAAAGAATGATCATATTCAGGCAACCTTGGGTTCAAAACTCAGCATTTGACTTTCATTCCCTTCTCTAATCCCCATCATATCCCACCTTATGTGTGACACAGCTAAGACTCTGAGCAAACGAAATATTTTGTCTCTAGATGTAAAATTCCTTCAGTGGCAGACACCACATCCTAAACTGGCTTTCTCAGGTGGCAGCCAAGAGCGTCCTCTGCCCCTGTACCTGTACAGTAAGGAGTCCCCACCCACTCTGGGGGATGCTCGGTGCAGATCCTAACCGGATAACTGATTTCTCACCAGCCATCATCCTGCCCTGGTCCTGGTACCTGCGACCGGGCATCATGAAAAAGCAGAGTCCGGCAGCTTGATCCTCTCTTGGCTGCTGTTGCTTATTTTCAGGGCAGAGAGCTTGTGTTTCCAGCTCACTTATGTCTCTGTCGCAACAGCCGGTTTTCACCCGGACCCAGTCTCCAGGGAGCCGTGTCTTTCCCCTGGAAACATGAGCCACAATCAAAGATGGATGCATCACCCTGGCACCTCCCAGCAGCCAGTCAGAGCCAGGGTTCCCTGGGACTCAGGGTTCCTGGGAGAATTCTTCCCAGCCCAGATCCCATCACCCTGTGCCTTTCCAAAGAATCTTCTGTACTGCCTGTGCCATGGCCTGAAGGACTTTGGTGGGGGTGAGGGAAGAAGGGGCACTTAAACAGGATATGCTCTTTCTTTCAAAAAAGAATTCTGAGGGCCACCTGGTACCAGCACATGTAGACAATCAGCCTCCATTACTCGCAGATGAAGATCCAACTTCTAGCAATGACTCAGATCCCTGGAAGATGGGACCCAGCCCTTTCCTCTGGCCTCTCTGGTTCGGCCACTCTGGCCACCTCCTGGCCCTGGTGTCCACCAAGGCCCCCTCACTCCTCTCTGTTGCTCAACTCTTCTCTGTCTTTGCCTGTTATGCTGCTGCTTACTGTTTGGACCTCGCCTCCATTTGCTATGTCCTCAGATGGCCTTCTCTGCCTGTCCGCCACCCTTGTATGGTGCCTTGGTTGGCAGAGTGAGGCCACTGAGATTTTAACCTCCACCCTGGTGGTTGGAAGACTGAGGCTCACCTTGTCTCCCCACAGTCTGACCCATGGTCAGTGACCCATGACGGGTTGTTGAAAGAGCAAAGGACGCACTGCCCTTCCCCATGCCAGGCACATCTTCTTGGGAAACTGCTATGAAACAAAGGTAGATCAGGTATAGAATTTCTTATAAATATTCATGTCGTTGACTTGTACCCATCCTCTATAGGGTGGTTGTGACCTCAGCCTTTTTTGGAGTCAGCAGAATCTTACCTGAAAATTGGGGGTAGGGTGAAGTGCTAATTCAAGTCCCAGCTGCTCCGCTTCCAATCCAGCTCCCAGCTAATATACTGAGTGAGCAACACAAGATGGCGTCAGTGCTTGGACCGTCTGCCATCCACATGGGATACCCAGGTGGAGTTCCTGGCTCCTCGCTTTGGCCTGGCCTACCCCAGCCCTTGTGACCATTTGGGAAACAAACTAGCTGATGGAGAATCTCTCACTCTTTCTCTGTTACTCTGCCTTTCAGATAAATGAATATTTTTAAGAAGAGTAGGATGGGGCTGGTGGGGCAGATAGGCCAAACAGGCGGCCTCTCCAGTCATGCATTCCCTGTTGAATAGGTGTGTGTGTGTGTGTGTGTGTGTGTGTGTGTGTGTGTGTGTGTGTGTGTGTGTGTGTGTGTGTGTAGGTGGGGGTGTTAAGGAACGATGACTCAGAACTATGTCCAAGTCCAGTAATGAGCTTCCTACCCTTGTGACTCTTAGCAACTTAGTCATCTCTCACAGGTTCAGCCTTTCCCTCTGTAGACTGGGTCTATGAACACCTGCCCTGCAGAGTTGCTATGGAAATAGAGGTGGAGCCTCTTTCTCCACCAGCTCCGGTGCCTGGCATGGCGCATGCTTAGAAAGGACAGCGATGGCACTGGCAGCCAACTGGGCAGGGCCTCCTCTGCCCTTTGGAACTAAAGGCTGCTGTGAGTGACTAAGGGGGAATTCTGCCTGCAACACAGTCCTCTAGCTTCCCACTCTTTCTGAGCTGGACTGACCTCCCTCGGGTCCAGTTCTGTCAGGCTTCAGCCAGGAAGCGTTCCTCCCTTCCTTGTGCCTGCTTCCAGGCAGGCCAGCAGCAGGGCCGCCCTGCTCGTGGGTGCTCCGTGTGCCTCATTGTCAGTTGAGGAGGATAACAGAGACTGCCAGCAGAGCGCAGCGAGCGCACCTGCTGTCACACATCCAGCCACTGCATGTGAATTGCCTCTGTCACTCCTGGTGTGAATGAACGGGAGAGGGAAGACAGTATTCCAGAGAGGAACACAGCCCAGCCGCACGGGGCTGCAGGCAGAGTGGCGGTGAGGTGGGGAGAGAGTGAGGTGGGCTCAGGAGGGAAAGGGGAGGGGCACGCCGCACACACCTCAGATGCGCGCTGAGGCTGAGGCACTCCCATTCGATCCTCCTTCATGGGCTGTACGTGAGTAAGGGCTTCCATGGTTCCTGGAAACATAAATTTTAGTGATATACTTATTTGGGTGGAAAAAAAATAAGATTCAGGGATAGTTTCTTCATTCTATACATTTTCATGAACTTTTTGAAGAACTCTCAGAGGCATGGAATTTTAATTTTTTGTGTGGCGATATAAACTTTTAATTCCCCTTTCCATGAAGTTTTTGAAGCATCCTCATACTTTTTCACACTCAATCTTTCTGCCTTGTTGAACCATTTTTTAAAGTTTTTTTTTTTAATTTAAATTTTATTTTATTTGGAAAGCAGGGTTAGAAAAAGAGAAAGAGGCACAGAGAAAAATCTTCCATCCACTGGCTCGCTCGCCAAATGCTTGTAACAGCCAGGGTTATGCCAGGCCAAAACCAGGAGCCAGGAGCTTCTTCTGGATCTCCTACATGGATGGCAGGTGCCCAAGAACCTGAGCCGTCTTCTACTGTTTTTCCCACTAATCAGAATGGGAGCTGGATCAGTAATGGAGCAGCCAGGACTCAAACCAGTGCCTATCTGAGTTGCCAGCAGCAGCTTAACCTGCCAACCCTGTTGTACTGTCTGTTACTTGTGCCTGCTTCATACTTACTGTAGAACCTGGTATGTACAAGCACTCAATAAATGATTCTTAACTGAACATTGAAAATATTCAGCATTCATATTTGATATTTAATAGTTATTATGTTATATATGGCTATTAGAATCTGTAATATAGCTTCGATTCCACAGGTGTTTCTGCTATAAAGTCACATCTGCCTATGTATAAACCTGTGCACTCTGAAACATTCAAAATTTGAACTGCTTATCAGATCCTAATGCCAGTAATGCTGGGTGCTGAACTTTAACCAAAAAAGAAAAAGGAAGAAAAGAAATGGAGGGGGCCTGGAGCAGTGGTGCAGTGGTTAAGGTCCTCGCCTTGCATGCCTGGGATCCCATATGGGCGCCGGTTCTATCCCGGCAGCCCCGCTTCCCTTCCAGCTCCCTGCCTGTGGCCCGGGAGAGCAGTCAAGGACAGCCCAAAGCTTTGGGACCCTGCACCAGCGCTTTGGGACCCTGCACCCGCGTGGGAGATCTGGAAGAGGCTCCTGGCTTCGGACAGGCATAGCATCGACCCGTTGCGCTCACTTAGGGAGTGAATCATCGGACGGAAGATCTTCCTCTCTGTCTCTCCTCTCTGTATATCTGCCTTTCCAATAAAATAATAATAATAATAAATCTTTAAAAAAAGAAAGAAAGGGAGGGAGGGAGGCATGAAGACCAGGCATTTCCTTCCACACTGGAATCCTCCTGGCTGCAGCTCCTGCTCATGCAGACCCGGGGAGGCAGTGGTGGATGGCCCACGTCATTGGCTACCTGCCCCCACGTGGGAGACCTGGATGGATTTCCCAGCTTTGGCTCATCCAAGCCATAGCTACCACAGGTCTCCAGGGAGTGAGCCAGAGATGGGAATGCTCATTTTCACTTTGGTTCTCAAATACATGTTTAAAAAGAAATACCACTGCAGTTTTGGGCCTTGAGTAATCATAGGTTTACATGGTTGGGGCCCCTTGTCTGCATGTTGCTCATTCCAGGGTTCAAGCAAATGAAAAGACTTAAAAAATATTTGGGAAAAAACGTGCAAGGGGAGGAAACTGTTTTTCTAACCATTATTCCCTAAGCAATACAATTTAGCAACTATTTACATATATTTACGTCCTGTCAGTAGCAGTAACCTAGAGGTGATTTAATGTGCATGGAAGAGGCAGGGTTCATAGGCTGAGTCCAAACACTACATCATTTTACACAGGGCTGGAGTGTGTTAGAGCCGGAAACCATCCCTCATAGGCATTGAGAGATGATTGCTTTCAAAAACCAAGGGGGCTGGTTCAGTGTGATGACTCATTGTTGAATCCTCTACCTCCAAGCACCGGGATCCCATAGGCCACCAGTTCGTTTCCCAGATGCTCCACTTCCCATCCAGCTGCAACATTTCTGTGGCCTAGGAAAGTAACAGAGGATGGCCCAAAGCCTTGTATGTATGTGGGAGACCAGGAAGAAGCTCCTGGCTCCTGGCTTTGAATCAGTTTAGCTAAAGCTATTGCAGCCATTTGTGGAATGAATCAGTAGATGGAAGATCTTTCTCCTGTGTCTCTCATTCTCTCTGTAAACCTGCCTTTCAATAAAAATGAACAAATCTTTTTTTTTTTAAGAAATAAATCGAGTGTTTGCCAGAAGGTGGTTGGGAAGGATTGAGGCTGCAGAAATGTTGCAGAGGCAGAAGCAGACGGTTCTATGTGTCAGCAGTGGCGTGGGGAAGAATAATGGTAGGCTTTGCACACACATGGCTGAGATGGACAGTCTGACAGCACCCCCACATGAGGGCCAGGGAGATCCAAGCCCGCAGCCACACAGAGTCAAGAGGAAGAGCATGGAGTGAGAGCGCGTCATGGGCAGCAAGAAGCCCTCTGAGCGCCTGCCAACCCTTAGCTGTGCCAGGCTCTTGCTGGAACTTGGGTTCATGTTCTGGGAATATTTGCAGCACACACATTTGCTTGGCCTTATTCACCTGTTTAGCTTGTTTGAACTAATCTACCTTACCCAAGCAGGGACAGTAGAACAAGCAAGGTCTATAGCATGTGATCAAGGGATACACCAAGAATGCCAATTCTGCGGGTGTGAGGGCAACTTCCTATCAACCCATGAGTCTATTGAGTTTAACCCTCCTCACATGCATCAGAATAAGCACTAGCCTATGAGGTCGGGTGATCCTAATTGAGAGCATCTGACACCTGCGTGGTCAGGAGCAGCCCACCCCCTGGTCATACCTTTAGACTTGGAGTCAGAGGACAGCAACCCCAGCCTACCTTCGAGCTGTCTGGCCTTAGCCAAGTCAGTTGGGCTTTCTACCAGCTAGAGCTAGCGATGCATCCCATCGACACGGGGCATGGGAGGGAGCATTGTCCTTCCCATGTGTTAGTGTCTGGAATCCGCAGGCCAGCTTGTCCCACCTGGGAAACCACCAGCTACACAGGTCAGTTCTAAGGACTGGCGAGAACTCAACTCCCTAGAATCAAAGCAGTCTGCAAGACTCGATGCAGAGGGTGAATCCCGTCGGAAGGAAGGCTCAAACTCCTCGCTGGGAAGTTTCCTGAGGAGCAGGTGTAGCTGCCTGTCTCCAAACACCCAGCCTCCAGCTCTTGAGGTCACCTCCTCACCACCACCCATGGCCCATTGCTGTCCTTTGGTCACTCCCGTGAAGCTGGGCCTGCTCCTTGTCTGTCCTCTTGCACGCAGTGTCCCCAAAACAGCATGTTGGAAAGCAGCACATGAACAGGACTTTGAATTTGCTCTGCTACTTACCGCCCAGTTGAGCACCACAAGAGCCTGTTTCCCCACCTGGAGAATGGGCGGCCACACCTTTTCTTCCACAATCATGGAAGCCAACACTTGTAGGCTGGCACGTGCCCCGGGCCCCTTGAGGGCCTGATGAAGATGCAAGTTTTCTGACTCCCCAGAGCCAAGACCCCCACCCAGTGGAGTCATCTGACTGGTGTGCCTAGATGCATGGAGCACCTGGCACCTGGCCAGCACTGCTCATCAGAAGCCCTCTCACTTTTGCACCGAGTTTTTCCTCTAAGAGGAGGGAGGGGATGAGTAGAGCAATCCTCTGCTTGTGCAGATCTCTTAGAGAAGCAACAACAACAACAACAAAAAAAAACAAGTTTGGCTTTCATACACGCTGGGCGCAGCAAGTGAGAAGCAGAGGCCTGGCAGCAGCCGGCTGCTCCCACATAGGTACCTGCAGGTGGCCCTGCTTGCCTGGTTGCGGACACCTGCAGGGCTCCAGGCCTGGACTTGTCATGCTGTGAGTGCATCCTCCAAGCTTGGCTGAGGAAATCTTCAAAGCACACAGGGTCAGCCACGCCTGGCAGTGGCTGTAGGACAGCAAGATGCTCCAGGACCCATCGGAGGGACTGTGATATAGTCTCCACCTAAGGCCTGAGCACAGCACTCTGCCCCCTTCATCCTCATCAAAATGGAAGTGAGTCTGGCCAGCTGCCAGCAATGGCCATGACCGTGGACTCAAGGAGACGCGCAGCAGGCTTCCAGAGGGGAGGCCCACCCCACCTCACTCGCTGCTGGCTTTGCTCCTCTAAGAAGCCTGCTTCCTCACAAGCTGCTGACTCATCCGGGTTAGGGTCTTTCTCTCTCTCTCTCTCTTCCCCCATTTCTTTCTCGGAATCACCACAAAGCCCAGATTTTTGAGGTTGGTTTAATGAGCAGTGAGTCCATATCATTGCTGGTTTGTGTTTGTTTGGTTTTGTTTTTTAATCCACCCCGTGCCCACAGCTTGTCAGAGGCCTAGCCCTGCTAGAATGGAGAGCTGGACACCTTCTCCCTACCCCCTTGCAGCTGCCCTGCTTTTCATCTGGAATTTTTTTCTTCTCTGTAGGACCTAATGCCCTGGCTGCTCCTGGAAGCGGTGCAGAGAAAGACTCCCAGGATGTAAGCAACCACATACTGGTGAGTGATGTGTTGGGCAGGGTTTGCACGTGACCAGGGCTTCAGGGAATGGCTGAGATGAATGGGTAGCACAGAGCAGGTGATGCTGGGCCTATGAGGGGCCAGCTGAGTCTCTGTCTGCATGCACCTGACCCAGCATGGTACCCAGGATCCAGATGTGAATGCCGTCGGTTCCCTGGGATCCCACCAGTCCCTTCCAGAAGCAAACTGAGTCTGTGTATGCTGGGCTGTCCTCTCTGCTCCTGTAGCAGCTACTCAAATGCTGGCTCCCCAGGGCACCTGCTAGAGCTGGGGACATATTCCTAGAACAGAGGGAGCTCGGTGGTTCACATGAGTTGGTAAAGCATAGCCTCCAGGAGACAGGGTCCACTAGAGATAATCTTGTGCATTTGAGAGACTGATCTGGGCAAGAGGGAGGTGGGAAACTGATAATATGATTTCAGAGCCATGCGACAATATCATGGATATCTTGATGAGATAGTGAGTTCCCTGTCCCTAGCAGAATTTGAGCAGAGGTTGGAAAACCTCCAGAGAAGGGGATGGCAGACAGGATGCAGCAATGACTTGGGCAGTTTTGCTAATTCTCTTCCCTGGTGGTCTGGAATCTCCCCAAGGGGCAGCTAGGACAAGGAGAATGCAGACTCAGGTTAAATCTAAGTGGAGGAAGTTATCAAATGCATGCACACACCTGCTCGAACTTCTCGGCTTCCAGTGGATTCCGCTATCAAACCACTCAGAAGCCCCTGGAGGCATGAAGTACCATGGCCCACTGCCTGTTGACCAGTTGTACCCAAGCTCATAGGCATGCCCCCAACCACTAATGTGTGTGATGGGTGAGCACTCAACAAGTACGAACGTTGTACTCCAAGGCTCTAGGGACTTACTTCTTGTCCCAAAGCCTCCACAAGTTGTGAGTAGGTGCCATCGTCAGGGTTCCAGGCCCAGAGCAAGAGCAATGGTTACTGTGGCTAGACCCACACCCACAAACACACACACACTTCTCAGAGCCCTACATGGAGAAAGCAGAAGTAAGGGAACAGGGAGCTTTGCTTCACAGGGCCCTCTGGGCAGGCCCCTTAACAGGGGCAGGGCAGTCCCTCATACTCGAGTGAGCAACACCTGGTTGGCTGAGCGTGAGAAAAATCACCCTCCAGACCCAAAGGGGGAAACTACAGGGGAGACAACCCCAGTGGGAGGGTGTGGGCAAGGACTGAGTGGTCATCCGCTGTCCTTTGTATCTGGGTCTCCTTCCAACATCTGGGTCAGCAGTGTTTATCCCATTCCCCACCCCCATCCCCAGGGCAGGACTCTGCAGGAAGCCAGAGACCCAGGTTTGTCTTTGAGAAACTGACAGCCTGGATGTGAATCAAGTTTGACAGTGGCTGGGCTTGGGTCTGCCAGTTCAGCTAAGTCCTGATGGCTTTGTGAGCAGGGTGGGAAGGAGGAGGAGGAGGTAAATGGCGAGTATTAGCCATAACTTGGCTCAAGCAGGAGTTGAGCTCCTGGGATGGGAACTGTGGCTCTGCAGTCACAGAATCCCACAGAGAGCAGGTGCTCAGTTAAATGACCGTGATAAGAAGGCAGTTCCCTAGTGTGTGTGACTCAAAGTAGGGTCGTGGAATCAAACTGGCGCTGTGGAATACTGGCCCTTCCGTTAGCTATATGGCCTCATGCAAATCACCAGCCTCCTTTGTGCCCCAAAGTCATGAGTAAAATGGGGTTACCTATATGCTGCTACTTACCCCTCAGGAATGCTTGGGTGGACTTAGGAAATTACTCACATAAAGCTGCCTGGTCTCATACCAGCACACAGCATGTCCTCGATGGGGGAGGAGACGCCAGGTGAAGCTCCTACTTGGGACAGGAGATAGCTACAGCCGGAGGCCTGGCACAGCTGCAGCAGTCACCACGGGAGCCTGTTCTCTAAGACAGAGATGCTGCGAGGAGGCAGTCGGGGTCGCGTTTTTCCTGCTCATTCTCTCTGATATCTTTCTCGCTCCTGGTCCGAAGCCAGAGAAGCTCTGCCTTTTTTATACTTATTTTTACTTGAAAACAGATTTACAGAGGGAGAAAGATCCTCCATCTGCTGGTTCGCTCCCCAAATGGCTACAACAGCCAGAGCTGAGCCAATCCAAAACCAGGAGCTTCTTCTGGGTCTCCCTCATGGGTGCGGGAGCCTAAGGACTTGAGATATCCTCATAAGCAGTGGAGCTGTGTTGGAAGTGGATCATCCGGGACTAGAACCAGTGCCCATGTAGGTGCCAGAGCTTCAAGCAGAGAATTAGTCTATTGAGCCACCATACTAGCCCCAGACATTTATTACCAGTGGTCTGTCTCTGTCTCTCTCTCTCTCCTCCCCTCCCTCCCACCCTCTCAAATTCCTTGATTTACTTGGGAGAATAGAGAGAGAGAGCTTCCAACCTGTGCTTCACTACTACCCCCACCCATAACCCAAATGTCCATAATAGCCAGGGTTGACCCAGACTAGAGTCAAGAGAAAAAAGTTTTATCTCAGGGGCTTGCAGCATGCAGGTGAGTTTTGTGAGCCTACAGTGCTGGGACTCAGCTCAGCTGGGACTAGCAAACTGATGCTAAAGCAGGGACCACGGCATCATGCTCAGGTATCTGCACAGGGCTGAACTTACCCCACCTATCCTGTGGGTCATCTGTTCCCCGTGTCCCTACGGCTACATGCCAAGGAAGCTAGCAAGAGCAAGGCATTCTTTAAAATAGAAGCATTCAGTGGGCAGCCTTGTCCATGGGTTTCAAATCACTGGAAAAGCTGAGTCAGAGAGACTACACCTGGTGCACTTCCCAAGAATAAGCTGCTTTTCAAGAATTCTATGTAAACGTCAAAACAAAATAGTCCAGAACTAACTTTCCCTTGGGTTTCCTTCTCTATAAAATGGGGGAACACTACAACCTCCACCCCAGAGGATTTTTCTCCCATAGTGGTCTTAGCAGTGCCCTGGCATTGAGAGACCTAAGTCACAAGTCCCTCCCTCAGCCAATTGCTGTGAGCAAGAAAGGAACATAAGATTTGCCAGGCCAAGATCAGGTCACCACCAGGCATTGTGGAGCCACATGGATGGTACAGAAGTGTTAGCACGTTGGGGAAGGGAAGATTCCCCCCAAGCCAGCCTCTGCTAATAAGTCCTACAGAGCATTCAGATAAAGGAGTGTGGGTCAGAGCTGTGGATCTGCAAGCAGACCCTACAGGAAGCGCTGAGCCTCACACAGGCCTTTGCAGTCTGAACCCCAGGTGACCCAGGGACCCCTCTGGAGCATCCTGACCACATGTTGATGTGATACATGGACATGTTGTTTGTGTCCTTTGTCCCTCCCCCATTCCCCTACACCTACAGAAGGTGCCTGCCCATGTCTGGCACCTGTGCTGGTCTCAGTGAGATATTACTGGATGGTCAGTAGCAGCACAGTGAGCCTGCAGGATGTCATCTTTGCCCTGTGGTGAGGTCTCTGTTTGTGTATGTCAGTGTTGAGACAAAGTTCCACACTTGTCATCTCCCAGTTTAGAGCCACGACATGAAATGGATCTCAATGGGCTGATACTCCTTTTGGGAGAAGCCATGCTCTTTTCTGCCCTCCTTCTAGAAGCTGTCCCCCATCCCTTAACCCATGGCCCTTAGTCTTCAAAGCCAGTGATGGCCACCCAAGTCTTCCTCATGCTGTATTCATCTTTCATCGCATCGTTATGTTGAACCCACCTGGGTTAGCCATCCGGGATAATCTCTGAATGTTTCAGGTCATGATCAGCAACCATTGTCACTGAGTCACATGGTCAAAGATTCATCTTCCGGAGTATGTCATCCTGCCATCCACAGCCACTGTTGCAATCATCCATTCTCACACTCTCCCAGCCCTTGCCACATGCAGGGCCATTGCTAAGGCCTCACTGTGCCTTACAGCAGCGACTCCTCATAGCCACACTCCAGGTGTGAGACATGCAGCAAACATCCACATTTTGGATAGGTTCAGTAAGCTGTAGAGCCGATGTCAGGTCACAGAGCTACCAGACCCTCAGGTCTGAGCTCCCAGCTGGGAGGTCAGTGAACAGAGATGGACAGGAACCTCAAGGTCATGGCAAAAAGAGATGGGGACAGACAGGGCAGTGGGAGGCTGACAGCCTTATCTCCCAGCTCAGCCTGTCCCCAGCAGTGTGACCTTGAGTGGGGAGAACAGTGACCATGGTCCCTGAAATAGACATGGGATGCTCCAGGCCCTCACTGGGGCTGCTTCGATTTTGTTTCTAAAGCCCAACCTCTGCCTCAAGTTCCTCCTGTTGGTGTTTCAAGCCTCCTAGAACCACCTGCTCCACATGGCATTCCTTTTGGCCTCACGAGGTAGTGTTGTCTGTGCACCCTGTGAGCTCAGAACTGATGCTGTGTCGAAGCAGAACAATATACAACAGAGATGGCATGTGGCCCACAAAACCCAGGGCATTTACCACCTGGTCCTTCCCTGAAAAAGTGATGACCTCAGAGAAAAAAGGGGTGCTGTATCCCCCCTTCCCGCACACACATGGGTATGGAGAGTGCACTGAGATGTCAGGGTCCAGAGCAAACTTCAGACCTTGTAAGCCCCTGGGGATGGGGGGCTTGGGTCCACAACAGTGACTTTAACGGCTTTTGTGCTCACCCTGTGGTGCCAGCGGCAGCAGGGGAAGCAGTGGCCGGAACTTGCCGATCAGCCTCTTTAATTCCCAAGAGGGTTGCTAGCAAATATGTCCCTGACACCTGTGTGAAGACTGGAGCTGCGTAGGGTGGACAGGTCACTTATCCAGGGCTCACAGTGAGACGGGACAGAGCCCAGAGTTGAACCCTGGGCAGGGTGCCTCTGCACCTTTCTACAGTGCTCCTGTTGCCATCTGTTCTCCCTTCTTTGCCTTGTCACATTTGCACACTTCCCTTGGCTCCTTCCCCAATCCACCATCCAAAATCCTTCCCACTGTAAAAGAGGACAACAAAGAAATAGAGAAGCTG